TATGGTGTGGTTCTATGTACGTGAAGGTCTAGAGTCGGCAAAAATAATTCTAGATGACAGATGTCAGAGTAGTGGTGAAGGCTTTCTGGGAAGAATGTTCTGTATCTCGATTTGGGTGGTGTTGACATGGGTGTATGCATAAACATTCACAAATATGTACACTCAGGAATTATGCATCTCCCTGCATAAAAAGCAAACATAAAATATTTAAAAAGAGAAGCTGAAGAGATGTGAAAAAGTCAAGTCAAATGGGGGCCATCCAGCCCAGAGCTGGCCTCAGAAAGGAGCACCACAAAGCCCCGTGACCTTCTCCCCTGGGGTCTGTGGACTATAGGATCAAGACACACCCCTGCTGATCCACATTTGGACCCTGGCACCAGCAACAGACCACCTGCTGTAGGATGGTACAGGAGAATGGCCTTTCTTAGTTTTACAGGTAACATTAAGCCAAAATTTTTCTCCAATTGAACCTCTATGAACCCTACTTCTATATATGTCCCTATTTTCCCCCAGTCACCCATCTATGACCCACTACTCACTGGCATCCTACACCCAGTAGGTCCCCATGCTCTTACTAGCATCCTTAATACCTTTAACACTCACTCACTTCTTCTACCCCTAAGATCCTAAATCCAGACTACAGCCCCCTCCTGGATGACACCAGTGCCCCCTCTGGTTTCCCAGACCCCAGTAGTCTCGCCTGCCTTCCATTAGCACTGCTGAAGGGATCACTGCCCTAAAACACAAATCATTGAAAACCTTAAAGGAGCTCCGCAACCTCTAGGGTCAGCCCAAGCTCTTTGGACACTCTCTCACCCCCAATGGGAACCATCATCCCTGTCTGTCCAGTGTACTGGGCACTGTCCTCAGTGAACCAAAGTTCCTTTCTTTAGTGACAGGCTTTGCAATTGTGTAGGGAAATACAGGTAATAAACATATACATGCGATGACAGGTGGTATTAATGTGAAGGACAGAAAAATCAAGATAAAGGAACAGAGGGTGACCTGGAGATGCCCTTGTTAGACTGTTCAGGGAGGCCACCCCACACAGCAAGTGTGTGCCACAGTCATCCTGCTCTCCTGGCAGGTCCTAGAGCAGGTGTGCTCCCGAGGGTCTCTGGGCCTTTGTCCACACTGCTTCCTGGATCTACAATGCTCTGGACCATCAAGAACAGTAAAGGGGCTGAGATTTTACCTGACTCACAGGCTTCTATGTTAGCCTGCTAAATTTCATGAATGTTCATAGAAGACATGTCCTGAGTCAGAAGAGGACAGTTTCCTACTCCATGAATACTACTAGTAGCCAGGGTATCAACATTTTGACTTGGGTTTTCTGACCACCAGAGGACCCAACACCACCACTCAATAAGATAGATGAGATGTAAATGTGAGACTCGAGACCATAAAAATTAAGATAGGACTAGTTGGGAAAAAGGAACTTGAAGGCATTGCAGCATTTGCAGAGCTTTGGTTGAGGTCTTGGTAGAAGGTGATGGAAGCCCCACTACCTGCCTTGAGAATCTGCTCAGAGGCTGGTGGGAGATGAAAAAGCCAAGAGAAAATTGCAAAGCTGTGCTCCAAAGCTGTAGAAGAGGTGCAAAAAAGGATTCTGGAAACCCACAGGATGGGTAGGAGGCCACAGAGGCTAATCTTGAAGCTGGGCAGGAATTCTTCAGAAAGACATCTTGAGCTTAATAACAGCACTGCACTCATAAAGTGCACTTGTGAGGCAGGAGACCCTAAAGGTTCACGCTGCACAAATGGCGTGTGCCATTTGAGAGGGAGGAGGAAGTGAAACTCCCTACAGAGAGCCCTGGCTAGCGGCCCTGATAAGGAACTTTTCTGTCAGGTACTGTCTAGACATAGACAGGAGAGAGAGGGCTGCCAATGTGGGCACTAGGGTTACTACTGGGGAAGTGCTGTCCAGGGTGGAGGAGGGGCTCAAGATGGAGGGTGACCTTCCTCAGCTCTTTTGCCACAGCTAGAATCTACTCTAGTTCCTCTGGTGAGAACGTGCCATGAGTTCCGCCTGCTTTTCATGCCCTGTTGGCAGGATGTCAGGATCAATGCTGCTAACATAACTACTTCCCACCCACACAACAGTTTCTGGAAACCCGAGGCCAGCAGTGGCTGTCCTTTGTTCCTGGAGACAGGAGGAGCTTGACAGAGCTCAACCCCAACACACTACCTGCTCCACCCCGAGGCTGGGCTCTGTCTTTTGAGCGCATGAAGCTCTGCCAGGATAAGGGTGAAGGAGCCACAGACATATTGAGTTGGCAAAGGCTGAGTCATCTCTGACTCCTTCACCTGGCAGGTGAAGACACAGAGGCCTGGGGATGAGACCAGGGGACGGCAACTGCTCCCTGTCCTCACCCCAAATCAGTGCTCTACCATCTCTTTTTATCTGTACCAAGACTGGGGCAGGAGCCTTTTCTCTGAGGTCCCCTAACAACTCCTGGTGATCCCTGTTAGGTTTATAGACATTCACATCAAAGGCTCCCACTGCCTCTGAGTCTAGCTAGGAGGGTGCCATGTCTTTTTCGTCTGTTGCATAGTAGGTGTTCAAGGAATATTGAATGGTGTAAGTCTGGGCAGGAATAGCCGGCACTCTTTTGGGTCACTGCTTTTTCTTTTTCTTTTTCATATTTATTTTTTAGTTGTAGTTGGACACAATACCTTTATTTCACTTATTTATTTTTTTTGTGGTGCTGAGGATTGAACCAGCGCTCTACCGCTGAGCCACAACCCCAGCCTGGGTCGCTGCTTCTTAAACACAGCTGGATCCAACTTCAGAAAAGAAAGTTTCATCTTAATATAAACAGCACTGTTAAACTTAGCAAGTTGAAAAAACTAAATTTCCCTTTTCAGATCTTGGAGTGGAATGAAGATCATGCCATTTTTGATTCTGTGGCTTCTCTCACCCTTCTTTCTCCAGCCCCAGTTCCACAGTGCTGCCCTCCTAGATAATAGTGTGCTGATTTGAGAAGTGGGGTTTGGGGAGGCTGGGCTGAGCAGGTACCTTATTCCCTTTGTCTTGGCTGGGACTATTTTGCTTTGAGGCAGAGTGAAGACAGGACACGGAGAGCAACCCTGGCATGTGCCCAGACTCCTGTGTGGCATTGCCTTGTGCCCTTATGAAAGGAGTTAGGACCACCTACTTTTCCACCCCTGAGGAAATCACTTTCCTGGGGAGTCAGGGAAAAGGAAACCAGGGCAGAGAAGAGGTCAGGCCACTTGCCACGTTGCCAGTATAGTCCCCCTTTCTCACCTTAACTCTCTACTCTGAGCTCTGACGCTTTCAGTGCAACTGTAGTAAGGTAGACAGCAAACAGGAAGTGAGGTTTAGCAGATATCCCCTTAAGAACACAGAGGATGGGGCTGGGGATGTGGCTCAAGCGGTAGCGCGCTCGCCTGGCATGCGTGTGGCCCAGGGTTCGATCCTCAGCAACACATACCAACAAAGATGTTGTGTCTGCCGAGAACTAAAAAATAAATATTAAAAAAAATTCTCTCTCTCTCCTCTCTCACTCTCTCTTTAAAAAAAAAAAAAAAAAAGAACACAGGGGAGCTCAAAGGAGCTTGGCTGATACATGCTAGAAGGAAGTTTTGTGTAATGAATAAAAACCACATTGTATCAAAGAGCTCTTGCCCCCAAGATTCTGTGATTGGTAGCCAGGGGTATTTTGTTGGCATGTATATTCTTCTGATCTCTTAGGAAATGACATTTGTAGGCATTAAAAGCAGGAGTACTTTAGGCCCCTTCCTGAGCCTCTAGGCAACCTTAAAAGATTAAACCACAACACCAAGAATGGATGCTGGTTTGGAGTTTCACCCCCCAAAAGGATGGCCTCGACATCCTCTCCCAAATGGCGGACTTGGGAAGGTTCTGTTTGGAAAGAAGAAAGAAGCAACTCTGAGCAGTTCTGGGCCTGTGGAAGGCATGGTTTCATGTTCAAGTTCAAAGGTAAACAGAGCATAGCAGTGGGTTAAAGGGATCGTTTATCTTCTTGCTGATGACAGACATGAGCTCTGGCCCAAGGCCCAAGCTTCTTATCCTTGAAAAACACATTTTACAGATTGTTGGCAAAGGCAGCCAACCCAGATTAAGCTGCCAGACCTAACTATTTTAGATCTTCCTCCTACTCCTCTTGAAAAAATACAAGATAAAGATTTGGAGGGATGCTTCTTCCCTGCATTTGAAAGAGGAATTCAAGGAGAGCTTGGAATTGGATTTGTAGGGGTTTGCTGACCCCAGAAAGCCCAGTGTACAACTTCAGATCAGTTCCATAACAAGAGCTGATTGCATTTCTAATAGGATTCCTTCAAATGGTGGATTCCTAAGGACATTTAAGGATTTATTTACAGATTGTTAACTTGCTTGTCAAAGAACCTGAGGGCAGAGACATTTTAAGCTGACATTTTGGGAGTGCACCCTCAAAGGGTGATCAACCAGAAATAAAGATAAAGAGCCTTTGAAATGGTAATGTGAAGTAATGGGGACAGTATTTCCTTTGATAGGTACCATTTTAGAAAACATCTCAAGTGGAAGGTAAAGCCTAGATGTGCATGTCACTTGCTTTTCACTGACTAATTAATATTTCAGTGACTGGCAATCCTCAGTCATCACCATAAAATTTTTCTAGAAACTGCCACATAAATTGGATCATCATAAAACAGGTTTCTGCAAAATGCATTATATTTTTTATCATGAGAACAAAGTTACAAATTTGGAGTTACATTCCTGATTAGGGACCTGACATCAAACATATCAGATATAAGTTGACAATTTCTGCCAGAAATGCAAAAATAAAAGAACTCTAAACTCCATGCTTTTTATACATAGTAAGCCCATGCTCCAAGTGCTATAAAGTGGGGGTAAAAGTGCCATATGCTTCCCCAGGGTATCCTGTTAGTACCTGCAATTGCTACCTTGCTTGACTATTTTTTAAAAATATTTTTTTAGTTGTAGATGGACACAATATCTTTATTCATTTATTTTTATGTGGTGCTGGGGATCAAACCCAGGTCTCCTGCATGCAAGGCAAGTGCTCTACCACTGAGCTACAGCCCCAGCCCTTGCTTGACTATTGACTGGTGACTGTTGTCATCTATCACATCAGTACACTAACCCTGAGGTAAGAAAGGCAGGTCTTGGTCCCTGAGTCCATCAGATAAGGAAACTGAGGCTCATGAATGCGTAGCTAGTTGGAAGTGTACCAGAGACTTACAGAATAAGTTTTGTTTGATTTTTTTTTTTTTGGTACTGGGGATTGAACCCAGGAGCACTCAATCACTGAGTCACATCCCCAGCCCTTTTGTGTACTGTATTTAAAGACAGGGTCTTGCTGAGTTGCTCAGGGGCTAAGTTGCTGAGGCTGACTTTAAACTTGTGATCCTCCTGCCTCAGCCTCCCAAATTGCTGGGATTACCAGCATGTGCCACTGTGCCTGGCTTTGATTCTTAACTCTGGTCACTTTTCACAGCACCACAGTGACCACTTATGAAATCCTGCCTATGAGACGGTGGCATTGAATATTTGTTTGCCTAAAGGGATAAGGTTTGAAAGCACATACACTCTAGCTTCCCTACTCCCCCCACCCTTCTTCTTCTTCATCTTCCTATTTCTAAATAAAAACGCCTGTTTTAAGTCAAATGCCTATGTTACTATGTGGAAACTGAAGGATGTGAGGCTGTGTAAAGGTATACAGAAAACCTCAATAGGGAATTACACAGAAGAAAAGTATAAAACACTACAATACAAACTTGACCTAAAGCAAATGCTTAGAATAAACATGTAACACTCTTATTTGTTTTTTCTCCTAGAATTTAAATGAGCCGTTTATTACCAGAGTTTTAAAATAAACAAATGAAAAACTGTCTCTAAAAGCTGACACTTTTTTTATTGTTGTTTCTTTCTGAAGAGGTTTTCAAAATATTTCCTGGACTTCAGAACTGCTAGAAGCAGCACAGAGTTCGCTTGACATTTTGTTGACAAGACCTGCAACACTTCACACTTCATTGGAAAGCCATAAAAGCAGGTTCCAGGTCATTAACTGAGTCTTCTAAGAGAAGCTGCTCGCTGCATTCAGATAGTGGGATTAAGAAAAAAATTCTTTTATTACAGTTGTCAGGGTCTTGTTGTTGTTTTTAAAATGGATTTCAAGTGCACAGACTGCAATTAATTAAATCTCTTGATTCATGACACACCATCATCATAGGTCCATGTGTGTCATTTTTACTTCGTTACTTTTTTAAATAACAAACATCCGGTGAGACCACTGTCCAACCAAGAATTAGATGCTCACCTTTTACCTTGACCTAGGGAGAAGGCCCCACTCATCCCCACTGTCTGTCTCTCTTGCATTGGTCACTCTTTTCCTAAATTGGGTGTTTGTAATTTTATCACTCTTTAAAAAAATAATTACCAAATATGCTTGAACACCTACATAGCATCTAGGGTTTTCTCAGTTAATAAAAGTAGCATCACACTTTTCAGTATTTTGTAGCTTCTTCTCACTTGACGCTGTTTCTGAGATACCCACTTTGTCAGGAAAGCTGTAGCTCATTCATCTCACCTGTTGTAGTCCACTGTGTGACTCTCGTAAAATATAGTAGAATTTCTTCTGCCAACAAGTATTCATTTTGTTTCTATTTCTTTGCGTAAGAAAATATTTCTTGCTATGAACATTCTTCTTCTTCACATTATGCAGGTGCCAATATTTCCCTTGGGTAAGTACCTAGATGTGGAATTTCTGGGTCTTAAAGTATGAACAAACTTACAAGATAACTATACGTGATTTTCCAGAGTGCTTACGCTAATTTACACTCTTGCCAGCAGTTTGATTACGTTGCTTCCTGTTACCCTCAAACTTTTATTGTCAGTCTTAATTTTTATAAATAGATGTAAACTGGTATCTGTGCATGGTTTTAATTTACATTTCCCTGATAACGAGGCTGAACTTTACTTCATGTATATTAGTTATATGTATTTCCTCCTCTATGAAATGCCTGTTTGAACTTTTTGCAGTTTTCTATCATTTTTCTTACTGGTGTTAGGAACCTAATATATTCTGCATGCTAACTCTTTGTGCTGTAATAATTTCTCCTAGTTTTAATTTTTCTATTTTCTTTACAGTTTATGTCAATGACTAATTTATGTATAGGAAATTGTGAATATTGCCTCTAAATGTTTCAAGTATTTCTGTGTCTCATTTAAGAAATTCCTCCCTATTCAAAGATCAGGAAAATATTCATTTATGTTTTTCTTTAAAGGTTAAAAGTCTGTTCTCAGCATTTAAGCTCACAATCTGTTTGATTTTTGTGTATGGAGTGAAGTAAGATCTTATTTCATTTTTTCACATGGATAACCAATATTTCTGCCTCATTTGTTATTAAGTCTTTCCTTTCCTGAGTTCACTACTTCTAGCCTGTCTTAAAATTTCAAATATGTATGGGTATAATTGGGCTCTATTCTGTCTACTGGGCAGTTCATTTATTCCTGCATTGATATCATCTTGTCTTAATTAGTATAACTTCATAAAAAATCATTGGATTTGCTAGGATAAATTAATTTTCTTCTTCAAAAAATCTTGGTTCCCCTTTGCTCCTCTGTACATATTAGAATCAACTAATGTTCTATGAAAAACCTTTTTGGTGTTTTGACCATAATTGATTGCATCTTGTAGATCAATTTGGAGAAATTTGTCTTGCTTATGAAGACCTATATGTTAATAAAGACAGGATATTTCTCCATTTAGATGTCCTTTAATCCTTTTTGCTAAAATTTTATAATTTTTAAGTATAGATTTTGCACATCTTGTTATATTTCTCCCTAGAACTTTTATAGTTTCGTGATTTTCTAATTCAATAATACTGATATTTATTTTTTAAAATAAATTATGCTTTTTTCAGAGTCTGGTATATGAAAATGAAATTGTTCTTTATATTCTTCTTATCAAAATCTTCTTTTATGTCTAATAATTTATTTTTAGAGTCTTCAGGGATTTCCATGTAGATAATCATATCATCCATAAATAATGCAATATTTTTGGTCTTCTTTCCAATCTTTTTGTGTTTAATTTCTTGACTTACTGTATTATACAGGTTCACTTCACAATGCTGATGGAAATGGTGAGGGCAGGCATTTTCACTTTGGTCCTGATTGTTAAAGACAAACTCCCCATGTTTTTGTTGCTGGGCTTTACTTACAATTGAGATTTTTGAAGTCCCTCACAGCAGCATTTCCATTCCTTTGGCCAGCACTTAGTCACAATGTCACAGATAGCTGCAAGGGAGGCTGGGAAATATACAGTAGTTTTTTAGCTGGGTGGCACCAGACAAGTGGAGTTCTGCTAATCTGAGATGAAAAGGAAAGTGAATAATTCATTGCTGATGAATAGGGAGTTTCTACTCTGTCTTGTGGCTGTTGCCCCAATACCAAGATAGGCAATCAGGCTAGCATCATAGGGATATTTTTCAAGATACAGTAATGTCTTAGGCTTTTCCATGAAATTACAAAAACAAACAATAACATTGTAAAAAAGCTGCATTTCCTTAACCCTGATCCTGCCTCTCCTGAACTTTGAGTTCCATTCAGGGCCAAACCTAAGACTCCCCACTTGTCATTAGAAACCACATCACTGATCACTTCTTTTCAGTTAAAGAGAAATTTAATTTTAGTTAAATTTTAATTGCCAATGTCATTTGTTACCATTCCATCATTACTTCTTTGTATTTTGTGACTGAGGATTGAACACAGGGTCTCATACATGCCAGGAAAGTGGTCTATCACTGAGTTACTTCCCCAGATTTATTTCTTTATATATATATTATACACACACACACACACACACACACACACACACACATGTTATTATTATTTTACTTTGACACAGGATATACTTAGTTGCCCAGGCTGGCCTTGAACTTGCCATTTTCTTGCCTCAGCCTCCCAAGTTGCTGGGATTAAGGGCATATGCCACCACAGCTGACCATCACTTGTTGTATTTTGAAGGCACTTCCTCAGCCCAGGTAGCTAAGACACTAGATTTGGTGGGCTGTTTCCGGACAATGCAGAGGGAATCATGAGTTAATGCCCAGGTGTGGTTTGTTCGAACTACACCTCTACAGTCCTCATCCCTTAGTGCTTTCCCCCACGCTCTAGCCACCCTGGCATCCTTGCTGTTTTGATTGCCATTTTAAGTTGTGCTGATTTGATTCAGCTTGAACTATGTTTCCCAGAATTCCTGGCTCTGGCTCTTGGCAACAAGAGAACTTGGTGTGAGTTGAGAGGCGGCAGCGAAACAGCAGCGAGAATGCTATGCCAGTGGGTGCGGGGTGCCAGGTTCTGCCGCCACACTCGCGTGTTTTGGGGGCTGGGCTGGTTCACTCTGTCGACTGGGGCAAGTCCCCAGGCTCCCAGCTCCTGCGGCTGTTGCCAGAGCTCCTTCTGATAGACCCAACCTGATCTTTTATTAAAATTGGGAGTCATCTTGCCACAAAGCCATGAAAAGCTAATTTCGGCTTTACTATAAATTACTGCAAATTCTGAACCTGCTTGGAATGCCTGCCCGTGCCTTGAACTCACCCATGCCTGCTCTCTGACCAGATAGCAGCCCTCTCTGAAACTTTAGTGACACCTCATAAATATTGGCCTTCCCTGGCCAGACAACGACCCTCTCTGAGGCTCTAATGGTCCTCATAAATTCTGATGTTGGGGCCAGCAAAAAAAAAAAAAAAAGTAAACTACCATTAGTGTGATGCTTGTCAGAGTTCTGTTATCTGTAACCCCCCTTTTGTGTAACTTTCTAGGCTATAAAGCTGGGCTGTAGGAAAGGTGGGGCTGCTGTTTTGTTCCTGTGGTTTTTGGTTGGAGAGGCAGCCCGGCCGGTCGAAATAATAAGCTTGCTTTAATTTGATTTTAACTGGAGTCAGTGGTCTTTTCTTGCGTCCTGGTCTAACACTTCATCTTTCCTGAATCCTGAGCCTGGTACGTGCAGCTCTGCAGTAAAGGCACAGATGGCTTCTGCAGTTCACCTGTGCAGTGGATGGGGGAAGCAGAGAGACCAAGCAT